TTTCTTGATTCTAACATTTTTGGCTACTATGGAGCCATCTATGATCGAAGTAGAATCACCAGTGGCGCCACGGAAGCCATAGATGACTGGCGATTCCATGAATTCGTAAGTTGCACGATTTCTTCGAGATTTGAATTTCATGAGTTAATTAAGTAAAGAAATGAATAATCAGAAGTTTCGTGTGCGATTTTACTAAAAAAAGAAAAAAAAATTACGATTATATAAAGTTTAATGAATCGATAAATGAGAAATTGCAAATAATTAAAATGATGAATAATTTCAATTCAATTTCAACAATTTTACTTCAAATCGAATATATAAAATGCAAAATAAAATGTACGATTAACGTATTTAAATTGTAACTTGAAAGTTATAAAATGTCAAGGAATGAAATCCATTAGATTTTTAAATTTATTCATATATGAATATCGTGCTATGTCTTTGCTGTTGTAAAAGGCACACAAACGTTGAAAAAACGGATGTTACGAGTCATTATATTGCAATTGGATTATAGTAATGACATGAGTATTCGACTATTCATATGCAATACAATGTAAATCCATTTCGATGTATATCGTAACATAGTTTTTTTCAAGCAATGTGTCGAACATACAAAATTCGCCCGGAAGTTAGTGATAATGATTTCATGCGATGTGATTTTTCTTTTAAAGGAAGGAAATGTCTCGTATTTCGTCCCACTAACGTCGCATAACCTACCAGTCATTGAATAATTAATTAAATACGGTTCATTGATATACATATCCGAAAAAAAATCACCGCGATAACAAAAACAAAAATCGATATGTAATTGAATTAAATTCACGGTCTTATAATATTTGCAATATTTCTAATATGTAGAGTAAAGAATAAATGACCACTCGGTATATTTACATTCGGCATGCAAGGTTACGTTTTTGTTGTCGAACCGGTGGCTTTTTCGTTCGATGAGTAATTAACGTGATAAATTTATAATAAAATATTTTTATTTTTCTAAATTAAATATATTGTTAGTAATTATAAAAGTAAAATGAAAATTTTGAATAAAATTTTTTGGAAATTAATGAATTTCTTCATCCTTATTACGCTAGTTATTCACTTAGAATATTATAATACATTCATTACAGTTTCTATATAAATTAAATATACCGAGCTATATGATATTCGTGCACACACAATGGCATGCAATAAATCCCTTATTTATACATATTACAATAGAAGGAAGCAAACTTACTTAACTCTTTAGTATAAAAATTCTTAAAAAACTATCAAAAAGAAAAAAAAAATTACGCAACAATTTTTAATATTTTTTTGTATAATCTTTTTATAAATAAGACAATACATTAAAATGCAAGGTTACGTGTACTAAAAATATATTTGGTTAGTTAGGTGATAACAAGTTAATCTATCGAAGGACAAACTTATTACGAAATGGTAATTAGGTAATTTTTATTTCTCAACAACATCTATTTAAAACATACTCATAAATATTAAATGAAATATCATATTTGAAACAAGTTTGAATAATGTAAATCGGATATCCCTACACCAAATAATCAACTCCATCTCACTAAAAAAAAATTATTAATCTTCTCGATTCTCTAAATCCCCCATAATACACCCACCTCGTCGTTTAACCACCTACCTCGCATACACACATAGCTGGCACGAACGTCATACGAAACATCTCTTCTATCCGCTCCCAACCTATCCCACTTGGCGAGCGAAACACGTCCAAAATTAGCTGAAACCGTGGTACAAATTAGGAACAGGCGTGAATCGGGCGAAAAAGAGAATAGTACAAGAACTGAGAAAACAACACGTACGCTACATACGTAGCGCGCGTACTATACGCATGTGACATTGTCCATCCGTGAAAGAGAGAACGCGCGCGGAGGCTGCGGAAGAGGTCGGCGGCCCGACGCTAGGGATCCCTAGACGCGCGCGGCCCGAGGGGAGGAGAAAGTTCGAAGCGGTTACTTTGCGAAAACGAAGGGTGGGGGAAAAGTGGCGGCGGTATATACGCGGCGCGAATCGAGTCGACCGCGTTGGGGGGGAGGAATAGGGAGGGGGAGGAGGAGAAGGAAAGAGGGAGGGTGGCAACGTCAATTCGCGGCAGCACGTGCAACCGCGTAAGAGCGACCTTGGGGGTCAGTGCTCTCCGTGTAAGCAGGCCATAGTAGAGTACGTCGACGCGAATCGATCGGGCTTGCTCTCCTCTCTCGTTGGGATAGGCGACCGCGAGACGAGAGAGAAAGAAAGAGAGAGAGAGGAGAGACACGAAAAGAGGGGAGCGAGTTTTCGTGATATCGAACGGTCGCCTCGCCTGCGGACGAGCTTCGAAAAACCCGGGGTGGGGAT